ACTTCCAACCAAAGTGTTTATCCAGGAATCCAGGGCTGGAGCCTGATCCAAGCAATCTTGGCAAATAGTGAAAGCAAAGAGTAACCAATTCTATTCAACCCACGAAAGTAGGGCAGCATCTTCCTGCCCCTTTTCCAATCCCATTTCTTGGGTCCTCTTGAGAGCCCAGATATATTTTGAGAAAGATTCAACGTAGTAAATGACAATGATTGTATTCATTTATATGATATAAAACATGGCATAATCAAATAAAAACTCCAACACTGTCTACCCAAGGCTCATGTGGTTTTAAATTCTATTTCTCTTGTCTTTTTTCATGAAGGGTAAAACATAACCAGTCTGAAATTTCAGGATTTATTGCTTTTGTATATAATTTAATCTCTCTTCTATCTTCTTTCCTTCCTTCCTTCCTTCCTTCCTTCCTTCCTTCCTTCCTTCCCTTCTTTCCTTCCTTCCTCTCTCCCTCCCTCCTCTTTCTCTCTTTAATTTTGAAAGGGGAAGATGTACTCTAGAACACAATATCAAAATATGCTAGATTACTACACATTGTATAATTGTTTATCTATTAAAAAATAACCTATCTTGGTTTTATAAACAGTCTACATAGAAGATAAAATGTAGGCACATATCCTGACTACATTTGTGTGTGTGTGTGTGGGTACTGGGGTTTGAACTTAGGGTTTTGTGCTTACTAAGCAGACACTCTACCACTTGAGCCACACCCTAGCCCACAATTTTTTTTTGATATGTGTTTTACAATCCTTCAAGTTCCCTTGAAAGAGAAAGCATGCTGACTCACTTGTTTAGAGAAAGATGAGAAATTTGGTTCAAAAATGAGTGGCATTTCCCCCATCTGTTGGTCTTTTAAAGAGCTGCCAGTAGCCAGTGGCTGAATGGACTTCCTTTCAGCAGTTCATCTCTATCTGGGAGATTGAAACAACTTTCCCAGACTCTGTCATTCAGGATAGGAGAAGTGTTGCATTGTCCTGGCTCTGGAGCCATTCAAAGTCATGGCAATAGTTTTGCAGAATCATGTGGTCTTTAAGCAAGATCTTAAAAGGCATGTGAGTGTCCAGGAAATAAAGAACCTGAGAAATACTTTGCATATATATGTGAACTTGTGGTGTTTTATTATTCTAATCATCGTACTCAACAATAGACTACTGAACAGTGCTGAAAATGGAAGCAGTAAGGGCTCCTGTTTCTCAGGAAAGATGCAATTACAGCTTTGACTTGTGCTAAGGAGTAATTTTGGCTGCTAAAATACTGAGTGACCACCACCTCAAGTACTAATTCCTCCCACACAGGACTTTTGCTGTGTTCCCAAAAGGTGGCTTAGGCCTCTGCTGCGCCTGACCCTTCTTTTTCGTTTTTTTCAATCACAGTCGTCACATCACCACTGTCACTATCATTGCATAGTTGTTAGTGTTACATTACCATGATTACCCATCCAGCCATTTCCACTAACGCTCACCAGAGTGGCTGTCAAGACTGCACAATGACAAAACAGACGAAAGCTCTTTAATTTGATAAGTTTGAAGCAACAATGGGAAAATAGCCTCTAATTCTAATTACTGTTTTTTCAATACCTTGATAATCAAATCAATCACTTTCCCAAGAAGGATCACATTTACCTGATAGCAAATACTTTCTAAAAGACATTATGATATTGTTGATGTTTAGAAAGTAAACTTAAGGCTGTGTGTGTGTGTGTATGTGTGACAGAGAGAGAGAGAGAGAGAGAATAAATACTGTGTGGATGACACTCTCTCTCTCTCTCCGCCCCTCCCTAGGCTACCCTGCTGTAGAACAAGAGCAAAGTTGCACACTCATGTGCTTACTTCTGTGAACCTTAACATTTTCTTTAACCACAGAAAACAGTAGCTGAAACAAACAGGATCTCAGAAGGCAGTTAAAAATACATCAACAGCAGGACTCAATTTTTTCTTTCCAGATCTTTATGTGGTCCCTATATCTAAATGCATTTGTAGATATTTTTGGCTAAATGAACCTAAATTCTAAATGTGCCTTGCTCTAGGGGAAAGTTGCCCTTATAGGAAGGTTCTTGGCCTCTTCCTTTCTTTATGTTGGAAGAAACTTGTTTGAAAAACTTTCTGCTTCTTGGGTATGTTAACTGAGCTGAAGGCAGAGATGAAGCCTGCTCTAGGTTTCATGCAGGAAGATTAAGTAGAATTCTGAGGTTTTAAAAAAGAGATTTCAGAGAATGTATAATCATCCCTCTTGTTTTAGCTGAAGAATGATAAAGAGAGAGGGTAGATGACTTGTCCAAGTTTCCACAGTGGGGGCAGGCTACCTTCCAGGCTCATAACACCTCATCTAGTTCTGCTTCAACCATGTTAAACTTCTGAAATGTTACTTATAAACTGATTTTTAGCAAATAAATACTATTTTGAATCTACTAGGTTAATCAGATATGTGAAAAACTGAATTTCCTTTAGATATCACTAAATGGCTGGGTGTGATGGCACATGCCTATAATCTCAGCACTTGGGAGGCAGAGACAAGAGGATACCAAATTTGGGACCTGCTTGGACTACATCACAAAGGTCCACCAGCCTGGACTACATAGCAAGGCCCTGTCTCCAAAAAACAAACTCACAAAAATCACTACTCTATAAAAACTAAGTTTTGGAAATACACTAGGAATTAGTATTGACTATAAGAGGGCCTACATTTCAGGCCCTATTCTAGACATATTCCCTATAATAGCATTTGTATCTCTATGAGATCTGTTCCCCACTGTGTGAGTAAACCATAGCACAGAGGGATTAAGTAATCTGTCCAAGGTCACAGAGTGAATTAATTGGGAAAGGCCAGGCAGCACAACTCTAAACTGAGGCACTTGACTATTACCTCACACAGAGTTTGCTTAAAATGAGACATGAGCTGGACCAGCATTCACATAAGTTAGCAAGTAGGAGCCATGACTCTGAAAACTGAATAACCGTACACCAGGGGCTGGGAACATAGCTTACAGGTAGAGTGCTTGCCTACCATGCATAAGGCTCTAAATTCAATCCTTGGCATCACACACACGCACACATACACACAATGAAACACCTCTGGTACACCTCTGTAATTCCATCTTCTTGGGAGGCAGAGGTAGGGATAATGCAGTTCAAGGCTATCCTGAGCAAAAGCAGGAAGCCCTACCTAAAAAACAAACCAAAAGCAAAAGGATGGGGGAGGGCCATGGTTCAAGAGGTGGAGTGCTTGCCTATGGAACACAAGACCCTGAGTTTGTCCCTAGTACTGCAACAAACAAAAAACTCCATTTAAAAAATGATATAGTGGATGCTGGTCTTGAAAGGATTCTCTCTCTAGTCCCTAGGGAATAAGTTAAATGAGATGATCAGTTTAGAGTAAAGTACCTCCCACTGATGAGCAGCGCAAATATGAGTCTGCTATGCAGATGATCTGTACAGCACAATAGATACTACTGTCCCATTTTACCATTTAGGAAAAGGAAGGTGTACAGGTAGTATGAAGCAGAACCAGAATTTGATCAGAATCCAATTTGATCTGACTTCTAATCTGATTCTACGCTATGGTTGTTGCGGTTCAAATAATCACCTTGATAATCCTGAGTGCTTAGGAGAGAGATCCTACAGGTTCCTCAAGCCCTGCTTGTGGAGATCTTATTTACCTACCACTCAGGATGGGGCCCCACATAATTCAGAGTGCTGTGCATCAGTCTGTAGGTGGCACTCTTTATCACCATAGCTAGATGAAAAAGAGAAAACTCCTTCTGAGGAAAGAAAATGTGGGCTGGGCATTTTGGAATGCCATTCTGGAGGGAAGAATGGATGAATAATTATCAGATTGTCTAATCCAGGTTTATCTTCCTAGTTTTGAACATTTATTAAATGGTAAAGTAAGTGAGTATTTACGTAAGCATAAATAACCAGAGAAAATATCTTCAAGCACAAGCACAAACCAAAGAGCAGACTCTAAGATTGAACTTTAAAGTAATGGTGGCTCCCAATGCCTCTCATCCAAGGAAAGCAACAGATTGAGAATTTGGTCACCAGCAACCAAGTTCAAGTAGATATTTTTAAAACTGAAGTAAATTATGATAAAACCCCAAACTATTATTTTAAATATTTCTGTGGCAAGAATAAAATAGTGGAAAGATAAATACTAACATAAGTGGTGTGTATATCATAGATGACTAGATTCCAAGGAATTTAAGAATCCCTATAAGTAGCATGATACTCTAAATTTTCTTCAATGAATTTGTATTACTTTGATTATCTTACATATACAACAAAACCTCTTACTAATGCTCCTTTAAAACTATTACTTGATAGGCTTTGAAAAAAATCTTAAACATAGTTTCTTATGAAAAATAACCAAATTCATGAGGACTCCAAGTCCAGATTCCCACTTATTTAGGCAGTTCCAAACTCTAGAAAAGCCCTTGCCTAAGGCCCATTTCATAGGCAGCATTAGAACAAGACATCTATAGATTGCTAGAATAGCTATTTAAAATAGTAAGCTTTGCAGTCACTTTCCACTGAATAGTCAACTCATGGAAGAGCTGTGAAATGAGAGTGGAGAAATGAAAAAGTAATGCCAGATGCATCTTGGCATACCAGGCTTCCTAAGAGAACCACTCATGGTCCATTTGTCCAACTCCTACTGTAGTGGCTTTGTTGTGTGCAAAGCACTGTGGCAGGCTTCCTTTCAGGTGTCAGACAACAGAGAGCACAGAAGAGGGACAAGGCTAAAGGTTTAGTCCTAAACTTTATGCAGTCTTTTTAAGAATAAGTATTTGGAAGAACCACTCAAGTCCTTATCCCTGCCCTGGCTTTGTATTCCCTTGGTGCCTAAATTGCTATTCTCAGTTACTATCTCATTCAAAATGCTTTGCTGTCATCATTTCAAAACACTCAAGTCCTTTTCCCTAGCCAGACAAGTTTCCCATAGTGTCAAATCAAAGCAGACCAGAATAGCTCCTGCCAGAAAGATGTGTTTACCTTCACCAAAAATATCATCCTCTTCATCCACCAGAAGATCCTCTGCATCAAGAAACTGCATCTTGGGGAGAGCAGTGAGCTCGAGGCAGCACCCAACTCTAGAAGACCCAGCAGCCACAGTGGCTCTGAACGATTTCCTTTCCCCTTGGGTTGCCCAAACCCTCGAGGAGGGCAGCTTCCGCATCTACTCTGAAGAAACAGTTTCATTCATATGAATAAGCTTCTGGAGCCTTTTGAAGAGTGAATTCCAGGTGAGGTAATTCTCACCACTGAGAAGAAAGAACTTTTTGGAAGGCACCTGCAGATCCGGTTGGATCTGAATGCAGATATCACTCAAAGTCTGAGTGCAATGAACTCTATTTCAAAGTGCCAACTTTCATATTTTCTTAGAGAGGAAGGTGGGCTCTTACCTTTCTTGCTTATGAATTTGAACACAATGGGTAGTGTTGAAAGAGAAGGGTTCACATTTCTCATATCTTGGTTTTGCTTCAATGACAATTTATCTGAAAGTAAAGCAAGCTACTGTGCTAAACCAAAGCAGGCATTTGAAGGACAGGAGCTTTTATTTCACTCAGTAATAGTTGCATTTTTCTTTTCTTTTTTTGCAAGCCTCTTGCATTTGAGGATTGGAAACTTTACAACAATGCTTAAAACAAATTTCACACTGATCTAGGCTCTCCTTGGTTCCATTAAATCTATAGTCAATGAACAGATAATAACACCCATTTCCCAATATTTACTCAGCCTGATACTTCACACTTTATCATCAAAGGAGGAAAGAAGAAAATGTAACTGAAAAAGCAGTTCCTCCCAAAGGGAGGAGCTGCCCTTCAGTCTCACGTGAGTACCAGTGGTTTGCATCACCCTATCAAGCCACCCAAAATATGTTACATTCTGTGTACTGTGCAAACACAAATTTCCCTGAGTGATATTGCAATTTCACCTGGGGGTTTCCCAGAGCTCTCAGGGGGTCAAGAGGCTCGGAAAATGCAAATGGAGATGATGGTGAGAGGCTGTTGTTGACCCAAGGTGTTTATTTCTGAAGTTTTATTTAATGCATGATTTTGAAGACTCCCTGTCTCCTCTTCCTACAACTGCTTTCTTTTTGTGCTATTTTCTTCCCAGAGGAGAGTGTGCACAATGGGGCTGGAGAAGTCCAGCAGTGAGAGGATTATTGCAGAGGATGAGTATCAGTGACTAATGGCTAACTGCCCAGAGAGGGTTCATTCCTGAACTGGTGTCTCTGGGAGTTCCCACAGATAGGGTATAGCCTGGGTCCTGCTGGGGTCACAGTCACTCTCAACCAGGGCTGGAATCTTTAGAAGAGAGCTTGGAAATGTGGCAAGTACTTGGTGTTGCACAGTGACTGGAGGTTGTTACTGATGTCTAATGTCTTGCTGCCTAGGGGCCAGGAGCAGCAAGTTTCCTGCAATGCGTGGAACAGTAGCTCAGAAGGAACTAACTGTCCAGCTCCAAATGCCAATAGTGGCCCCCTTGAGAAATGCTGATAGCCAGAAAGCTGGAGATGTTTCTTTCTCTAAATTTCCTTTATATCCCTCCTTCCTTACTATCTACTACCCCTACCCTGATTCCCACTCAAATGATGTTTCAGTCAAGTGTTACACCTAATTCCATATGTTACATTAATTAAAATAGGCCCAAATATAAGGAACATGGATGTGGATGAGAGCTCCATCTTGCATGGTTGGAATAAGAGGATGGGTGTTGATTCTTATCATCCAATACATTTCTCAGCCATTGTCCTATGTCCTTTAATTATCCTAACCTCATGAGATGGATACATCATCCCATTTTACAGGTGAATCAATGAAGGCTCTGAAATTTTGATTAGCTCTCCTAAGAGCACACAGCAAGTGAGTGGCATATTTGACAACTCCAGAGCTCACTCCAAAGGATCTGGGTCACAATGACATCCCAGTGACTCTAAAGAACCTCTCTATCCCTTCCTACTTCAGAACTACCAGGTTACCATGTGAACCCTGGGAGCCCCAGCCATCCATTTCAACTGGTTAATATAACCTCTCTAGGCTTATTTCCCTACCTCTCAGTGGCTGAAAATGTGTGTCTCCCCCACTCTGCCAGTTCATATATTGAAGTTCTCACCCTCAAGATATCAGAGTATCATCTTATTTGGGAATAGGGTCATTGCACATGTAACTAATGAAGATGAGTCCGTGCCATTCTAGAGTAGGTGAGTCCTAAACCCAATAACTCATTTTTCTGGTAAAATGGGAAGATTTAAAGAAAGTCATACATACACATAGGGAGAATACCACATGAAGATGAAAAAGATCTGCAAGCCAATGAATGCCAAAGATTGCCAGTACCATCCTAAGTTAGGGAAGAGGTCTGGGACAGGTTCTCTCAAAAGGAATGAACCTGTCCACAACTCAGTCTTGAATTTCCAACTTTTAAACACACACACACATGCACACATGCACACACACACATGCACACACACACACACATTTGCCACAATTAGGCAATGAATGAGGGTTGAACGAGGGCCTCCCACAAGCCATGCCTCTAGCTCTTTTTGTGTTGGTGGTTTTTGAGATAAAGTCTTGCTTTATTCCTGGGCTAGCCTGGGCTACAATTTTCCTGTTTGTGCTTACCTGTGTAGCTAACTACGATAACAGATGTGGACCACTGTGCCCAGCCATTTGCTGAGATGTGGTCTCATGAAATTTTTGCCCTAGCCTGGCCTTGATCCCTGATCCTCCTGATCTCTGCCTTCTGAGTTGCTAGGATTATAGACTTGAGCCACTACAGCCAGCTGAAAAAATACATTATTTAAATCTTTAAACTTACAAAAATATTTATCCTCCATATATAAAGAATAGCTAATCAGGCCCAATGTGTAACCTCAGCAGCTCAGGCCTGTAATCTCAGCTACTCAGGATACAGAGATTAGAATTGTAGCATGAGGCCAGCCTGGACAAACAATTAGAGAGATTCCCCATCTCAATAAATAAGCTACATGGAAATCCATATGTAGAAGGATCATGGTCTAGGAAGCTCTAGGCAAAAATAAGAGACTCTCTCTAAAAACAACCTAAATGCAAAAAGAGCTGGAGGCATGGATCAAGTGGCAGAACACTTGTCTAGCAAGAACAAGGCCCTGAGTTCAAACCCTAGTACCACCAAAAGGAAACAAAAGAATAGTTAACACATACACAGTACAGATACAGTACCAAATGCCTTGATTCACTTAAATCTCATTCTTACCCTATGATATAGGTATAATTATTACCTGTATTTTAGTTTAAGGCCCAAGAGGTGAAATGACCCAAACATGGTCAAGAATCTGGTCAGTAGGGGAGGAGCTGAGATTTGACCCAGGCCTCAGGGTCCACACTGTTAAATACCACGGTATGCTGGCCCTCACATATGTGAAGAATAAAGGAGCACGGAGCTGTTTGCAGCCCCACCTCCCAAATGCAAGCACTTTGAGCCTTTGCTCACATGGCTCCTCTGCCTAGAAACTTCCCCTTCTCCCATCTGTTCCACCAATTTAGGACATGTCTATTCATCTGTGGAGCTTGGTTTAAAAGCTGTCTCCTCCGTGAAGTCTTTTTGATACCCCCAAGTAGAAATTCCTGCTTCCTTCCCTTGAATCATTTATTTGTTTATGTATTTACTTTTTTCTTGCTCTTTATTCCTCAAGAGCAGGGCTTATTTCTTCTTAAATCCAGTTCTGTAGCACAGTTGCAGGCAGACAGTCGCTGACCACAGGATTAGATCATAACTATATGAATGGCGGAAAGCTCCAGGGTAAGTTGAATATGAGTAAGCAAGAATTCTTACTTAGAAATTATTCTTAGAATCTGTAGGCAAAGAAAAATATTTTTCCTTTGCCCTCTTATGTTTATAACCTGGTCCTTCAGATTAAACTGACAATAGACAAATTAACAAAAGGCATTTAAATTTTACAAATATTTCTATGTATAGAGGATCTTCACAGAGAAGTGAAAAATCCAGAGGTAGTTAAATTTGGGAATGTATATACCAGTTTTACAAAGGGCAGTAAATTGTGAAGAGGTGACTATATGAGGTGAGTGTGAGCAGGGCAGTGGGCTCTGATGGGTGGCAAATCGTAGGAAGTTCACAAGGAAATGTGTAATAGATAAGGGTTGTTATGCAGACTCACCTCAGTACCCTTCCCAGTGATTAAGTGTTCTCCTATTCCAGGTATGGGAGAGGGGAGCACCTTTACAAAGTGAAATTCATGTCCTCTTTACCAAGGAAATTTGTAACTGCTTTTAGACAAAAAGAGAGAGAGCAAAACATTGATTGAAAAAAGGGGGGGAAGAAGAGGGGAGCACTAAGGGAATATAATAGAGGGGATGAACTTGCATATCTGTGGCATTATCATAATGAATCCCCCTTGTACTATTAATGAGTGATAATAAAAATAGTTCTACAAAGTGGTGGTGGGGGGAGAGCAAAGTGTTCTTTCTACATCTTCTGTTTCTCAATTGCTGTCAGCTCAATATGGTACTCGTGATAAAGTTTTACAAGACATATTCTGCTCCCCCTCCAGTCCATACTAGAAAAGAAAAACCAAAGCTAGGGAAACAGTCACAGTTAAGGAGGATATAGGAGTTTGCTTATTGTTGTTTTGGTACAAGGTAAGCACCATAAATTGCTAGTAATTTTTATCTTAAAATATATTCTTATTTTTAATTGGCACATAGAAATTGTCTGTTTTTATCACCTCAGACATTTGTCAGTTTCATTGTACAGAGGATAATTGTGACTAAGAACTGAGAAGTGAGTGGGCAAAACAACCAGAGGACCTTGCTTTTCTCTGATTGGCACAAACAGTTCAATAATCAGATTTAGGGAATAGAACAAAAGTGAGAGTAAACCAGCATGGGGCAACTATTTTGAACTATTTTGATTTATGACAACTGAGTCATGAAGGTCATGAAGGTAATAGGCTCTAAAATGTGGTGACTTCTGTGTTTTTGATGCTGGGGATAGAACACAGGGCCTTGCACATGCTTGTCAAGTGCTCTACCTCTGAGTTACATGCCCAACTTCTTTTTTCTTTCTTTTTTAGACAGGGTCTTGCTGCAAACTCTAGACAGACCTTGACTCAAGATCCTCTTGCCTTCACTTCTTGAGTTCTGGGATCATGGGCGTGTGCTACCATGCCTAACACCAGTTTTATATTCTGAAGAGTTGGTGCCATAGTATATCTGTGAATGACAAAAACATGCAAGGCCTGCCTTTTGCTTTGAGAATCTTTATTTAACCAATTCTGCATTCATTTGCTCTTCATGTGAAAAATAATAATGAGCACCTCCTAGATTTCAGGTACATGTGTTCACCATAGAAAAATCAACCAAGTATTATTTCGTGACATGATAGTTTAGATTATAATAATCATTGATTTAAGATATTTCTGCATGATTTTCTGTTTTGAAATTTAAAAAAAAACACCCATCTGTGAAGTGCTCAGAAGAGGAAGCCACCCTGATGGGAAAATGTCATCCTCTAATGTAGGCTTTCATTCCCACAAAGAAGAGCTTTACATCTTCTCTCTAGCCTTCTGGAGAATTTCCCACTCCCTCCAGAAAGTGTTTTTAAATGCTCATTTTTCAGATGCACAAACTTCAGAACAGGGAAAGAAGCTGAACTAAGTCCAAGTGTTTAGAGACAGGAAGGAGAACAAAGTAGGAGAAAGGAATTGAAACTGCAAGGAGTGATTGGAATCAAGAA